AGGCCATTTATGTTCACTGAACTCATTGTTACAAGCATGGAATTAAGTGTGCATTGCAATGGGTTGAGTTTTCCTGATAAAGGTGGCCATTTGAGGATGACTATTGAAAATGGATGCATATAGAAGCAGCAATACTGCCACATGTGACATTTAACGTTTAAATTTTAAAATAAAAATAAAAAATGTGTCATAACAACTCCCTAAATTATATATATATATAATTATGTTTTATTAACAAAGTTCAGGAGGAGCACGTTCATAGACAATACCCAATCAGTGTGAGAGGAGCTGATTTACTGACATACAATATTGTTTTCCTGCATCCCTCCTCCACCCCAACTCCTTTTCTCACGAATATTCCTCTGGGTTCAGACCAAATACTTACAAATTATATGTAAGTGGAAAAAGACTGAAAGAGTTGGTGGTGGTGACATTGAAGCCATGATGCAACCGTGGTTTGCACAGCCAACGTTATCTTTTTAATTCTGGAGATTGCATTTAGGCTTCAAAATTCATAAAAGTTTTGTTAATTTTTGAAGATTATCATGAAGAACAAAATGTGATAGAATCATACAATTTAAAAATATTTCTTATTTTCTGTAATAATCTAAGCAAATGGAATGATCCTATTGAATTTTTGTCACGGCATCTAACTTTCGGTTTGGCCTACAGATATACATCATCACTGCAGCACTCTGTTGCCACAAGGCATGGTAAATTCATGAATTCATCTTCATCACATTTTGGATATCATTTGCAAATTACATTCAAAATTCATATTGTCCAGCATTTGTGAGTCTGGTCATCAATTTCCTTGCACCTTTCTTGTTAACAAGGGCAGTTTCTGCTTAACGAACAGTGATGGTTTTGGAAAGTATTCCATTAATTCTAATGGCTTTTGTTTGTGAAAATCCTGTTTGGGGTGTCCGTGATACTCACATTTCTTCCTCATTCTCATGTTTAGTTTGAACAGCAAGTGAATCTTATACCCATCTGTACTATAAACTATTTAGAGCAGTTAGATTACAGACATGTGACTCTGGACCACAAAAGCAGTCTTATGTGTCCTTTTTTCAAATTTGAGATTTATACAGTACATCACCTGAAAGTTGAATAAATTGAAATTGGGAATCTGAAGGTGCAAAAAAAAAAAAAAATTAAATATTGAGAAAATAGCCTTTAAAGGTTTCAATTTTTTGTTGGCGATTGTGCTGCATACAATTTTTTTTTAAGGTAATTATTTATTTAAGGTAAGTAATGACCTTTACTTAATATCCTAATGATTTTTGGCATAAAAGAAAAATCGATAATTTTGACCCATACAGTGTTTTTTGGCTATTGCACCTTAAGGCTGGTTTTGTGGTCCAGGGTCACATATTTTAACAAGCAGATGTGCTGAACAAGTCTATCTAATCAAATGGCGGCTGAATGTATAGAAATAAAGAAATCTTGCCAGGGGAAGAGAGAGTAACATATCTTTAACCTCCCAAAATATCCCAGCATCCTCATTCCTCGTCATCATGCTCAACACCAGCTTGCCTTATTAAACTAATATGATAAAACATGATATGTGAGGAAAATGGATTTTATTTTTCAGACATGTAAATTGATTCATCTCAGATCCAGATGTTGGTCACACTGCATACAGAATTACCCAGTGAAGCGATATTTCACCATCCAATTGTCTGTGACAACAATTAAATTAAATTGATGTCAATCAATGGCTTGCACTATACTACACTCCTGCAGAGGAGCGAGTGTATTAACATAACATAGCGTTAACATTAGTGGATCATTTGGTTTCATGTAACCACAGAGATAATGGGTATTTTAAGCATTCATATTAATTAACTGATAAAAGAGAAACTAAGACACTAGCTCTCTGCAGGTGTGTTTACTCTCGTCAGGAAGTGGCAGGAGAAATACTGTAAGTCCTTTTCATGCATCATCTGAAATTAAAAAGCTATTAAGCGCCACATTTTCTTGAAAAATGCTTTTCATTTATCGTTTCAAACATTATAATTTATTCACAGTATCCATTTGTGGAATAATAATATTTTGCAACCATTTCCTGCTGTCTTTCTGATGAGAGTGTGAAACTGGGCTTTATAGAATAGCTTTTCTGTGAGCTCAACCCACTCTGTGTTAATCTTAAAACACACATTTCACATTGAATGCTCTCAGCAAGGGGTGCAACTGCAGAAAATGCTGATTCCATAAAGAGTACTTTTGCCCCCTAGTGGTGCTCATCTGTATGTGCATCAGGTCAAGATTTGCTTATCAGAATGAGATAGTAGTCACAATGTGATAATAAAATATTGAAAATCTAAAATGTGATTGTTTGGTTTATTGGAATAGGGGGTAGAAAATATCATTAGCTAGTTCAGTATAAAAATGATAACGGTCAATAAAAAGTCCCACTTTGACAGAAATCTCTTTTAAACCACTTTGTAAAGTAACCTGTTTTTTTAGGCTCATATTACATTTGATCTCATGCTGCATACACAAAGGTTCAGGTTTTGTCAAATGTGCATTAATTTCACGTAGATAAAATACAATTTGGGACTTCCGGTTTGAATTTCGGACAAAGTTACGCACTACAACCTGAAGATTTAGAAACAAACTAAGTTTACAGTGTGATTTCAGACAGTGGGTTTTGAGAATGCCCGAAGGAAAAAATAAAAAGTCAAAGCAGACGGAGTTACTCGACGTCAAATGAGCTAGCCAGCCAATAGGTGTAATGGAGGACGATGATGATACGCACACGCAACTCGGCGACGCTAGCTGACTGATTTAGAGGCCCTCTCCAGATGAGAAAATTTCAGATATCGAAAATATCAGATATCGATTTCAAGACCTGAAAATATCAATATCGGTATTACACATATGAATACACATATGACCCAGAGGAATGCATATGGAGAAAGAACACTAGGGTGCCTACTGTAGTCGCATGGGGAAATTTTCAACCCCAGGGGTGGCAAGGTGGCTTGCCAAGGGAAAGACACATACTCAGAGAGGCTTACAGTGGAAATACAGGTGGGGGTCGTTCAGAGGAGGGACCATGCACACGGGAGGCACCTAACCGACGTGCAGGCAATAGACACCGGCGCCGACGTCAGGAGTGCTGGAGGAACTCAGGGCTTTGCAAGGAAAGCACTCTGCAAGGCAGTTAAAACCACTGAGAGGTCCCAAGAGGGATCTAGAGGAGGGCGGGGAGGAATCAGTCTCCTCGCTCCTATCAGGAACCTGACGATCAGGTCATGCTTCCCCACAGACTTACCTTCGACTGGGTCATGGTGCGCAGCAATAGCGACAATATAGACTTTGAGGGTGGAGGGAGACAGCCTTCACTCCAACCCATTTTGAAGGAAGGAAAGCACAACACTGATCAAACATCTCCGAGCGTCTTCTCAGTGAGAGGAGCACCAGTTGACGAAGAGGTTCCACTTCAATGGATAGACTTGATTCCTGGACGACGCTCTAGCGGAAGTGATGGTAGCCACCACTGCTGGTGGGTACTCAAACCTCCCTCGTCTCGTCCAAGAAGCTTCCAAATATCAGGATGAGGGTGCCATAGGGTGCCCTGTCCCTGAGAAAGGAGGTCCTTCCTCAGAGGAATCGGTCAAGGAGGTGCTGTCGAGGAGGAGTACAAGTTCAGAGAACTTGCGCAAGAAGGCTCACTGGGTGAAACACATATTTGTGCCCCTGCGGCCAGTTGTGCGCCAATGCATCTGTGCCGGGCGTGTCCTTAGTCCGGGAATAATACAGGGTGCTATGGGTCAAGTCCAGGTCCATTATACTGACCAAATGCAGAAGAGGTGAACAATAGTAGGCTGGGATAACATTCTATTTAAAGTCTTTATAGAGGCTTATCTTGCTGGCTCTAACCGAAAGCTCATCTCAAGAATACAAGGGGACAAAAGGTAGTTCAGTGTATGTGACGCAAAAATGGGAACAGGAAGGAAACTTTGTTCTAAAGAAAGAAGATTGGAAGTACTGGTGAGAGATACAGTGGAAAACTTTCTGTTCATCTTTCTGGCGAGAGTTTTGCTGGAAAAACCTTATAAGGTTTTTCATTATTCCAGCTCAAAAGAAGCACGACACAAATTCTTCGGCATGTTTGGCGACAATATGGGTGCCTCGAAGCAAATCATTTTCACATTTTCTGGTCCTGTACATTATTGATTCCATTTTGGAGGGAGGTTTATTAAGTTTTGCAAATCATTTTTCAGATGGACATTCAATTTAAATTTGAGTCTTTATATTTAGGTGCCCTAACAACAAAAAAATGTCTCTTCTCATGTCAAATACTTATTTCAGATCCTAAGTGCTGCTAAAAGAAAAGCTATTAAAGGTGGTTAAAACCAGGACTGGATTGACATTATCTACGATACTTTAAAGATGGAAAGGGTTAATTTTGCTTTGAGATTGCAACAGGGAACTTTTTTGAAAATATGGGAAAGATGGATAACGTATATCACTCTATTACTCCCATCATTTGTTTAATGGGGATTTTGGTGTCCTTTTCTTTTCCCTTTTTTCTTTTTAATCTTTTTTATTCCCCCTTGGTAGAGGGCTTTATGAGTCATTGAGGTTTACCCCAACATGTTTGTTTAGTTCTCATTCTGATTTTACTATGTCTTATAATGGTTATGTGTATATAATTTAGAATGAAGGCTTAATGGGTCTCTCCTTCTTTTAGTACTGTTTACCGAGCATATGATACGTTTCTTTCTTTTTTTTTCTGTGGGTTATTAATGTACATTTGCAGATGGTTTATTAAGTATGACAGGTAGTATCTTTGACCGTAATGTATGGACCTGTAAAATAAAAATAAAAATACATAAATAAAAAAATATTATCAAATTTAAATAGAGAAAGAGAGAGAGAGAGAGCCATCTGTTGGTCTTTGAAGATATTGTTCCACAAGTGAATTTAGCATGTTAAAATAATAAAGCGTGCATGTGGGGTGTAAAAAAATAATAATAATGAATTCATTATTTCTTAAGAATATTTATTTGCATTCTTAAACAGCAGAATCTGCTATAATATCACAATAGCAATGTGATATCATAACCTTTTTCATCTTTGATAATTTCCTTAAGTTTAATGCAGAACCATAAAGAAGGAAGGTATTGCAGTATGTATAATGGACAGAGATCACACGATGAGATGAGAACATAGAAAGTAACAGGCTGGGATGTAGATCTCATCACACTCTCCTGGAAACTTAGCTGATCACAACTGGACTGGAAATAAACTGAAACAGATAAAAGTCATATAAGTGTGTGTGTGTGTGTCATATATGTAGTCATGTCAAGTGTATGATACTCTTAAAAAACAAAGGTACATCTTTCGATGGTTCCATGAAGAACATTTAACACCCATTGAACATTTTATTTGAGAACCTTTAAGAACGTTCCTCTAAAATGTTATTTAGGGAACCAGCAATGATTCTTTCATGGCATTGTTTTGACACCCCCGTTTGGATCCTTTATTTTTTTAAGAGTGTTTCAATGATTCCTGATGTTGTTCTTTCAATTGAGCAGATAAATTAACTATTATGCATGATCAATAAAATGTGGTGATAGGAAATAGTTTCTAGACATGTCAAATCAGATTTATGAGTCTTACCATAGAAGCTTGAGGAAGGTAGCCAGCGAATTTAAAGACAGTATCAGCTGTCTTCCGTCTCAGTCCCAATATTCTCTGTGTGTGAGATTTCATTTACATCGTCCTCTTCTTTGTCCGATGAGTCGTCTGATTCAACAGATTTGCGTCTGTCTCCAGGTTTTTTGGATGAATCTACAACCTCAGTACCTTTACTTGAGTTGCACCCCATTGTAATATCCCAATATTCTTCTATTGAATATTTTGATGCTAAAAGAAAGACAACAATAAAATGTAGTGAAGTATCTCAGCAGATGTTAACCATAGGCAGTAATGTGCTCTTTAGAGCTGCATCATATTCAATCTCCACCTAAGTAGTATGTCTCCTATAACCTGATTTCTATGACAACACAGTGAACTTCCTGTTGGCATTGGTGCAGGCACTACAAACATACTTCAGCATGGTTACAATTACCAGGGTTTGTTGATTTAGATTCCCACAGACTTTGTGTTTCACCTGCCAGGCAACGCGAGTTGACATTTAACCTGATGGCGTGTGAAGACATGGTTACTGATAAACACAGCATGGCTGGTTGTCAGTCAGAGTCTGTCCATTGTAACAAATTAATGACAGGTTGGACAAGCAGAAAAAAGCCTCTTACATTAATCTCTGGGTCAGAGCTTTATCTAAACGAAATTATGACAACACTGACAGACTGATTTTAGGGGTGTTGAAACACTTCCTGTCAAAATGTTTGAGATTCATTGATGACTATTTAATGTTGAGATGCCCTGTCCAAACCTGCTTTTGGTGGGCCACTGTCTGTAGAGTTTAGCTCCAACTTGCCTCAAAACACCCACTGTTAAAATTTTCGTTGTGAATTTACAGTAAATAATTGGATAAATTTTGCATTACTTTCACAGTAAGGATTACAGTAATATAATGTGAAATATGCTCACAGCAATTTACTGTAATTTTATATCTGTGATATTACAGTACATTACTGGGGAATTACAATATATATATATATATATGAAGAGTTTAGATGCAAAAGCCTCTAAATGCCATTTGAAATTTTCTTCTTTAATAATGATTTTTATCAAACTTTTATATTTAAGTTCAGTAATTTCACCTAAATAACAATTAATAGATAAATATCATTGCCATTAAAGTGAAATTACTGAACTTAAATATACAAGCTTGATAAAAATGATCATTCTAGAAGAAAATTTCAAATGGCACTTAGAGGCTTTTGCATCTGAACTCTTCATATAAACACACACACACACAATGTAACCCCCCCCCCCCCCCCCGCCCAACAACAAACAACTCTGAGGTTAAGTCAATGTTAGCCCAATGGCATATTTATTAACACATATGTTTCAATGTACAGCAAGAATTTAAGAAATTAATTTTTTTAGAATTTCAACTTTAAGATTGTTTTCATAAAAGCCATTTTAAAATGCAGAAAATGCAGAGACATTGTGCAAACTTTTAACTGTGGAGCCTGACAAGTACCACTGCTAAAAAACACTATGACGCCCACTCAAAGTCAATTAGTTTCCTCAATAGGGTGCTAATATGAGGGTTCATTGTGGTCCTCTTCTTGGTCTTCGATCCTCTTTCGGGATTGATGCCCAGGAAGCACCTGGTAATAAGCAAAGATAGTTTCAGTTCTTAACACTTTTGTTGTTCTAACCGAATCCTGGTCCAACGCACAAGGTGTGCACGGATCTACACTTCGGATTCTGACCGGGAATAGTAACGTTAGACCACCCGATAATCTTTGAAACACTTATTTCAACGTGCGATTTGGGACGTAAGTTACTAATTCTGTTTTCGAATACTATTTAGGACGGTTAGTATGTGAATTGGGACGCAGAAATGTATTAACTTAAACAGCTAACGGTTAGCCCTGCTAATCTATGATAACATTGACTAAGTACAGAAATGTGCACACATAAATAGTAATGTTTGTCCCATCACTGATTTTATAAACTCTACAAAAACCAGATTTGTCTAAACGGTGATAGACATGAAAATAGCAAAACTCGATCGTCATTAACTATTAGTATGCTGTGAGAACTTTCAACAATTCCGGGCAGCTGCTAACAAAATGTGAACTGTGTCATGCGATAAACGTTTATTTGAAAGTAAATATTATCATATTAAAATAAAATGGGTGTAAGTGCTGCAAACATGCATGCTTACCTTCTCCGTTAAGCCCGAAATAGAAGAGGCGGCGGGAGACGACGGAGCCTGCAACAGTTCGGTTATGTCACGTGACTTCCCAGGGCATAGGCTACAGTATTTCACTGCAATAATACTGTTTGCTGCTGTGAAATCCTTATTTTTTTTCACTGTGTTGCTGTGATATTACAGACCTTGCTGTGACATAACAGCAGGTTTTAAATTGCAATGTTTTATTGTAAAATAAGAGTTAAATGCTGTAAAATCCAAGGATATTGTAGTTTTTACAGGTATTCATTGGGATATTACAGGGAAATGTAATCACAACAAGTTACTGTGAAATAATACTGTTAATTATTGTGAAATGCTGGTAATTTTGTGCCTGGAAGTTAAGACCTCAATGAGCTGGTTCAGGTGTGTTTAAATGGAGTTGGAGCTAAACAGGACACCCCCCCCCCCCCCTCTTGTTCCTCGCTCGGTTTGAGTCTTGGCAATGTGTATCCTGCTGTTTCCCACCGAGTCTCAAGAAAGCTATAGTTATTTGATTTGTTTTTTCTCCCCTCATAGAGTAATTTTATTTTTCTCCTGTTATTGTTTGCATTATCTACTGCTAGTTAGCGATGGCAAAATGAGGCTTCCTGAACCACTGAGACCTCGCAGCCCATTGCTTCACCTGAAGGTTCATTACTCAAAGCTTCGCTCAGCATTGCTCACTAGTGACATTTAGCTACTGTACAAAGAATTAACAGGCAAATTAATTAATTCTGAACCGATGACCTGAGCAGACTAATGTCTGTATACCCCCCCCCCTCCCTCTGTTTTATATATTTATTTTATTCTCATTGTTAATATGTAACCTTTCATTTGCAAAAAATAAAAACACCTGAGCAGACATTTGTCCATTGCCTGGGAATTTCTGCCACATTCCGATGTGTCATAAAGTCTTGTAACTCGATACCACTGGAGTAAGTGGGTGAGTGTGTGTGCGAGTGGGTGTGTGTGTGTATAACACAGTATGTCACTAATTTACATTCGTTCTGAAAGCTTTCAGGTTTTAGGAAGAATGCATTTGGTTATTCAGATGATCCGTCATTTCACCCAGTCCTTACAACATTTTACTTTTAGCTACCTTCTTTGTGCTTGCTTCGGTGTAATTACATTTACTGGGTAATATTAATTAACAACACCTACAGTACTGGTTTGCTTTAGGGTTAGTTGGATGTATTTATGCATAATTTAGTCACTACAATAGATGTAACAAGGACACTGTAAAATAAATTGTTACCCTTATAGTCCATCCCATTCCGCACTGTTGTTCCTAACACGTGTCTTTTATAATTCACTTGCTGTCAAATAGTCATGATGTCCTTTGAATTACAAACGCAATCAAACCAGCCCACTTTCATCACGGATTAATAAAAACAAATTTTATCGATGTTTTGATTTTAGACAGTTTTAGATTTTAATAACTGGTGCTTCAGCTCAAAACAAACAAATACATTTGACAAATTTCACATGAGACAAGATTTTTCTGTAGAGTCAGAATATGTTTAATAAAAATAATTAAACCTCAATTTCTTCTATAGAACTTCATAGAAAGTAATTCAATAAATTACAAACCTTTTAAGACATGTATCCTGCACTACAAGAAGCATTAATTGACTACACAGGCCACAACTTGCAAGTATTGCAACTGTCCAAAAAAAAAAAGGAAAAAAAAGGGGGGGCTTTAATTTCAAAATATTAAAAATATGAAACAAAATAAGCCATGAAAACAAATGAGTCTGTTTGTCAATTCAATCATTCACATAACTGAAAACAAACTTTTATTTGCAGTAGTGTATTTATATTTCATCTGCTGTTGCATGGTGGATGTCATTGTCTTTGTGCCACAACGGCAAGTCTTGCCCTGATTCTGGTCAGTAGTCCAGCGGTTCATAATGCAACACATGAAATACAACCAAAATACTGAATGCATCTATACACATGAAAAAGAAATAAAGAAAACCAAGGTAAATGTCCAATTCTCAGTCAACCTGCAATTCTTCTCAGAACATTATTCAGTTAAATGAGATGCTAATGCTGCGATGTCATAATAAGAGGAACTACTGTATATAGGTTTCATGTGCGGGTTTGGGAAGAAGTGGAAAGCAGCAATACCTGTACACAGTTTCAAAGTGCGTGGCTCACCACAAACTAACTGAAAAGAGGAAGATCTGATGCCACAGTGGAAAGGAGAGGGCATTCAGAACATCTACTGAGGCAAAAATCACACTGAGAGAGATCAAAGTGGGGGCATCTGAGTGAATCCATGTTGAATGTCCTCATACATGCTTGGAAAGACCCAATAATATTACTGTGTTCACTAGTGAGACAGGCAAAGAGTTGCATTGTGCAGTGCATCCCGAAGAAATTTGCATCACAAATGGAAAACTTCAGTAGCCAAACCTGAATATGAACAAACGTGACGCAGCAGAGACTGGCGTGAATCAAATGAGCCTAACAGTCTAGAACAAGGGTACATCAGCACATGTAACAGAAAACAAATCACATACACGTCCTGATTCAAAACGCCAATGAGGTTCATCGTGTTGGCCCGAGGTGCTCGACTGCAATGAATCGTTCTATGAGGGACAGACACTGAAGTATGGCATAAGGACACTTCTAGATCAGTCATTTACATCTAACAGCAGCAAGGCGACTACGTGGATGTGAAAAACGACGGACGTATTTGATCAGACTAAAGGAACGTAATGTTGACCTGTATAGTGTGTTTAACCCTCCCATCAAATCTGAGGACTTTATGTGCCTGATAAAGTATCTGAAATACTACTGGAAATACTTGAATTTCTCTCAATACTTTTACACGGATTACAAACGTGGGTGATTTAGCGAGAGATGAACTAATGCGTCAATACTGTAGCAGTCTGTGGAAAAAAAGAGGATATATACGCACTGCTGTCTGTCGCGAGAAGGTTTGCATGTGAGGCCAACAGGACCTTGGACACATAGATTTTCATACAAATTGAGGCAAGTGTTCATAAGCACAGAACGCCACACGTGTACACACACACACACACACACACACACACACACACAGTGCTGTCTGAACGCTAAAAGAAATGTATGAATATATGGATGTGAAGGAAAGTGGTCTGAAATAAAAACGGTAA